AAATGTTTCCCTTTAATTTACATGAAATGATTTTTAGTATTTGTTTTAGTTTAACTTTTAACCCAGTAATATTAAGCTGGTTAAACCCATTCTGGATGTGTAGTGCATGGAATGCAAAATGTGAGCTTTAACAACTTAGGATACAAGGACTTTAGTACAGTTATTTTCTTCTCCCAGCACCCTCCAAAGTCTTATATTCTGTCCATGCTTCTGGCACATCTATGGCTTGCTACGGCCCACGTTGAGCCCCACAGCCGCCGCTCCAAACTCTCTGGTCAGTCCCTCAATTCTGCTCATGCCAAGAAATATTTAATTAATTGCTTCGGAGAGGCCGTTTATGGTGATGTATGACAGACAGACTCCCCATAGAGCTGAAAGAGATTTTTCAAGGCATGAGAGGCATTTAAAAAAAAGATAGTTTGCAAAATTGGCTATGTGGCTCCCTGTGAGCTACACCTTATGGATTTGGCAGTAGTGTGGGGGTGTGGGAGTGTGGGGGGTGTTAAGAACAAAAGTGCAGTAAACCTTGGAATGCTCTAACGATATTTTCAGGTAATGAATAGATTATACAAGACAATCAATATAAGTGGTGACTGCATCTGTATTTTTTTTTTTACCAGTTAGCCACAAAAATGACATATTATTTCAAATATATCTCATAAAGTGCAGGAAGGTTGGTCAGCACTGATTAAAAAAATTAAAAACAAATATTAACAAAGGCAAAAACTGTCTTTTGCGCAGCTTATGATCTTACAATTCGACATTTGAGTCTACACACATATTAGGTTGGGAACCTTTTTCAAAGCTTTGGTTCCAGCCGACAAATTAATCAATATGACAATATTAAAAATTTAGATGGCACAAAGTTTAAAATATATGACATTAAAAAAAACAATTCAAGAGCAATCTATTTCAACAAAGTCTGTCATTTCCTATGTTTAAAAAATATATATTTCATATGCTTTATTATATTTTAGTCAAGTACTTCATTAAAAAATCAATAGCACCACTTTACCACTCTTGGTCAGGTAAGTAACTGGTAAAAGCAAATCTGCTACATATTCAATGTTCTGTTTGTAAAAGTACAACTGGAAAATCTAAATATGAATCATACAGATATATCAACATTGGTTGCCCCTAGAATCTCAGCATAACCTGCCCTTATTGTTTCAATAAATATTTCCAAATGGTAAACGGTCATTCTTTTAATGAAGGCACAGTTAAGTTTATTCTAAGCTTATTTATGAGAAAATGACTCATTTAGAGTAATTTACACAAAATTAGAACTCCAACTGAAAGTTTCTCTACTTTTGGATAGAGTGGGGAAGGGAATGTCCCCTGTCAGGCTTCCATCGCTGTCTGTGTTTTCTATGGCAAATTTTATCTTCACTCCTTGTCCCAAAAAAGACAACAAGGCATGTAGAGAAATATCCCCTGCATGAGAGGAAATCCAGGTTTTATTGAGCTGTGACCATTTTAAGTGACAACTGCAATGTTATAGCTTTTCCTCAAATTCCTGTGCTGATGACAGCAGTCTCCAGTAGACATTTGAAGAATGAGGACCCCAACAGCAAAAAATGTCACCATTATTTTTTGCGTAGCTTTTGCAACTATTTTTTACAATTTGACATCACAGCTTTCGTTGCCAGACTTTTTTAAATTGGAGAAATGACTTTAAGGATAAACTGGGGTAACTGCACCAAAATACAGTACATGCGTCTAGCTATGAATAAACAAGCCTGTTGTTAATTATTCTCTAAGACAGGGGTGGGCAATTAATTGTCTCGAGGGGCCCCATGAGAAACTGGGATGGCCGTGGATCGCCGAACCATTTTGAATGGCACCCCAAACGCACCTCCTGGCTGCAATGCAAGCAACTGTGCTGCAATGTGCGCTACCACAATACCGCGCATTGCAGTGCAGTTAAGAAAAGTAGTGCATGCAAAACAACACACCTGCCACACTGTAATGTACATTAGGTCCAAATTGAACCTTTATTTTCCCACATTGTCCCCAGATTGTATGAATACTATGTGGCATATACCTTTTTTTTCTTTACAGGCCACAAAGGAGCCGGGAGATGGAGCTGCAGGAGTGGATGGACAGCCCAGCATTACGGCATCTTCCTGTAATGCTAGGGGCAGGAAGACATTTGTCACTGGTTGTTAGGACTGCCCAGCATTCCTAACAACCAATGACTGCAGAGGAGGAGGATCCCTAATGTCACAATGTCACTGGTTGTTAGGACTGGCCAGTGGTCCTAGCAGTCATTGACTGTAAGAGGACCCCGATGTCATTGATTGCTAGGATGCCAGCAGTCCTAGCAACCAATGACCGAAGAGGAATGTGGTCTGGACACAGTCCAACCTGCGCTGGATTATGGCTTGCAGTGGATGCAATGGCCTTGGATGCTGGCACATCCACTGTCAGCCAGCCAGCCATAAATCAGTGCAGGTTGGTGATTGGTCCATTTCTGGACCACAAGCTGGACAGAGACAGGTAGGGCCCGAAGGTAGTAAAATAACCAGGTCTGCTCTAAGAACTAATTTAATTAGATAGAACCTGTCCACCTGGCTGCAGCTTGTGGCACATAAGGGTCGATGTATTAAAGAAAGAAAGGCTGTTTAATTAGAAAAATTAACGCTCACTTTAAAATTGAATGTTGGTAGATAACGTGAACCTGTGTTGCCTCTGAAAATCTTTATTGAATCAACCCCACAGGGTCTATTCAACAACTAAACAAAGCATACTGTGCTGTGTGAGAATATGCTTGTAGGGCATTAAGGTACTAAGGGATCCTTTAACAGAAACCCAAATTTACCTGATTTGAAAAAAACATTTTTAATAGAAGTATAGCTATTCTATAGTGATAGATAGTGCATAAATACGTGGATACATGGAGGTTTTAATCCTCCACTAATTCAGTTCAAGTTTGTAAAAATATAGTCAACTCTCAGACTTGAGAGGATTTAAAGTAACTCTGATGTTAAATCTCCTTAAATATGTAGAGTGTTGCTTCAGATGCCTCTATGTAGCAACATTGAATGATCTCCTCCCAGCTCATCTTCATAAGCAAGTATTTTTTCATTGTATTGCTTTTGACACGTTGTCAGGGCAAATCTGATGAAATATAACGGCAGTCAGGGTGCACCACTGTATCGGAATGGAAATGCCTGTAAATGAGCGGGCTATCGGCGATGCCTCCATGTTGCTACTTAGAGTTGTCTTATTAGTGGCTATAAGTTTAGTTTACTGTTGCGAGCACTGCTAAATTATATTGTTGCAGAATATTTGATTAAAATGTTTGACATGTTTGTATGACTATTCTTCTATATTGGTGCCTGAAGTACTAACTATTTTCGTGTTTTCTATATTTATAATAAAGACATTTTATTATTTTAAATAATTTGCTGAACAGATGACATGTCTGTTAGTTACTCTTAAATCAATGACTGTAATACTTTTAGCATGTAAAAATGGGCAACTCCTTTCCCATAAACTGGAAGTTCCTCCTCTTCAAGCCACGTATGGAACATGGGTCATGATTCAATAGATTGACGTAAATTGACTCTAGGGATCCGTCCTTTTTCACATCTGCTGTACAAATTAAGCACAACAAAACTGTAAAATTCTATACAGAAACTTTTCTGAGAGGTGACCGAAGCAATCATTTAAATGTTATGACAGGACCCTCTCGAAGAAGGGCTGTTTTAATTTGGTTAGTTATGAATTAGCTATTGCTAACCATTTTCCCCCCCAGTTCTGATGCTGACAAATATCTTTCAGTGTGAAGAAGGAAATAGGTCTGGACTTCTACTTCAGAAAGGACAGAGTGTAACTGCTGGGAAAAGTCCTTATACATTGTGTGTTTTTTTGAGAAAAAAAAACAATCTTATAATCAAATTGCATATATTTAATATCCTGCTTTGTGGTAATACTCTAAATGATCTTGAATGTACATTTCTTTCGATCAGAATAAAGCCTCCATTGTTTGTTACCTCAATCTATATGTAATGGTGCTTTAGTAAATATATTCATGTTGACCACTATACTGTTGCTTTAATTTGGATAAAAGAAAATATAGAGTGTTGATGTCCACCTTTGATCCTGTAATATTTAACGAGAGTTCAGCACTTAACCCAGTGTTTTCCAACTCCTATCATTGAGGCCTTCTGGGATTTATCACACTAATGTAATTAAAAACACAGGGAGGCTTGAGGCAATGCAAGTCACCATCTGAATCCTCAAAACAGGATTGATTTTAGCTGAGGAAGTTGTCTCTTGCTCACAAGTGATTAAAATCTTAAACGTAGCCCCAGGCTAAGGCTCAGCTATATGTGAGATTTGCTTGTGAGCTTTTAAACGAATACTGTAAAAAGAGAAACACAAATCAACTTCTGCTTCTACGATCTTGAGGCTGCGTGAGGTCTGCACGGAACCTGAATGTTATCGGTGCAAAGGTTCCTGGTGTTGGATGAGCCAAATATGCATAATAATAGGGGTTAATGGCAGCTGCATTATTCTTCCTAAGAGCTATACATTAACACTGCTAAGATTTCAGTAGAGCATTAGCTGGAATGAATTGTTCTGCATTCTGAACTTCACAATCTGGTGATGTACAGATTCACTATGAGTCTACTTACTAGCTTCTCCACAAACCCTAAATACAGCAATAAGGGCGCAGTATTGGCCTACAGAAAATGTGTTTGCTTTTACCAGTTGACATTCATGACCAGATCATCACACAACACTCACTGCAACATACGGTAGCACCATTGTACTATTTTACAGCTCTACATACCTAATTATATATGTGCATTAGTGATATACAGGTTACTACTTTGACTGAACAAAAATGTTTACCACTGGACAAATAACTAGCTTGTTACCGAGACAGATCAGTGACTTGTGAGCCTAGACAAGTGTTTAACTGCTATATTGCAATATATTCAGAAATAGGTGGATAAATTCAGCCTTTTTTTGTTTTTAAATTTATGAACCCAACTGATTGTTTGGATTCAGCAAAATTAGAACAAGAAAAATAATTATTTGTTGCTACTGCTAATGAAAAGCAAAACTGTGCAAATACAGATGGGCAGGCAAACAATGTTATAGGACACTGGATACTAAACAGCCCAGGTAGAGAAGTGCAAATATAAGGAACTCTCAGACAAGTCTGGGTCATGCCTCCAGTACCCACAAAACATTAATTAATTTTAGTGCAATCGAGAAGGCCATTTATTTCTGGACCTCTAGGGGACACAGGCTATTAAAAAAATGCTTGCGCAGGACATGTTTAACAGGTGAAAGATTACAGAGCAATAGATCAGTTATGCGAGTTGTTATGCTTCTGATTGGAATGCGTATCAGTGGCACGTGGATTTGCATTGTTCAGAGGATGAATGCCCATTGGTTGAGAGAAGTGATGTCTTTCCCTGTTTGACTTTACTTTTCAGTAATACATCCTGCACATGCCACATTCATTCTTGAAGACTTTGAGCAGCATCAGCATCTACATCCTGAAGCTTCGGCTCCCTGTGTTTCCTCTACTTGCATTCTTCTGATGTACTTCCTGCAATACACATACAGAAAAAAATGTTACACAAACTGTCTGTAATATGTATTGATGTCTGTGTTGAGGTGCAGAACATTTCTATAATAAAACAAAAACATTCTCGAACAGTAGGCAGACCCAGGAGGAGCAAACTGCAGAAATGTGAATGTGTGTATCAGTAAAAAGAATATCTTGCTGCACTCCTTACTGCAATAAACCCAAAGACTGGGTGGGGGCTTGTAGTGACCACGGTAGGCACCGTGTATAACACAGAACAAGGAAATAATGTCACCAGCACACCATTGTTGTAAATCAATGATCCATTTTAATGGCACATTGCCATCCAATACAAGCGCTTTCGGGGCCGCACAGGGTCCCCTTCATCAGGCTCAGAATGACACATCAGTAACAGATACATCAACCTTATATAGACATCAGACAGTGTGAATAAAGATAAACCACTCCCATAGAAAAGAATGACATCACTGAGTCCGTTCCCACCATAACTGATTCAAAACTAGAATTACCTCGACTATTCCAGGTGCACCGAGGCGCGCGGAAAGACCGGGCTGTTGTTCGGCCGGAGCGGGTGGTTGCCAAGGAGATGTGACGCTTTTCACAGCCGTGAGCGCCGCCCATCTCTAAGAGTGTGAATAAAGATATACCACTCCCATAGAAAAGAATGACATCACTGAGTCCGTTCCCGCCATAACTGATTCAAAACTAGAATTACCTCGACTATTCCAGGTGCACCGAGGCGCGCGGAAAGACCGGGCCGTTGTTCGGCCGGAGCGGGTGGTTGCCAAGGAGATGGGACGCTTTTCACAGCCGTGAGCGCCGCCCATCTCAGTGATGTCATTCTTTTCTATGGGAGTGGTTTATCTTTATTCACACTGTCTGATGTCTATATAAGGTTGATGTATCTGTTACTGATGTGTCATTCTGAGCCTGATGAAGGGGACCCCGTGCGGCCCTGAAAGCGCTTGTATTGTATGGCAATGTGCCATTAAAATGGATCATTGATTTACAACAATGGTGTGCTGGTGACATTATTTCCTTGTTGTTGTGTGTATCAGTGGCGGACCTAAGGAACAAAGGGCCCTGGTGCAAGATTTTTTTCTCGGCCGCCCTCCCCCCACTCAGAAGCCCATCAGCCCATGCGATAATGCCTCATCCAATGCAGTGCAGTACAGAAAACACTGAGCCAGTCACAAGTCTTGGGCCCCCAGATGCAGAGAGCACCTCTGTAGGGCTAATCCCTTGCCTCCTACTCTCTCTTTAGCTGCTCGTGTCATTGCACAGTTTAACAGGGCTTTCCCTTCCCCGTTGGGTTCCTACTTTAACTACTTTGTCAGCTAGGCTTTGGGAGTTGTGTCTCACCCTGGCCTTTGCCCTCTCCTGCAGAGCAGTTCTCTCCCTTATGGCATGTCATTGGTACCTGGTATCCATCTGTGTAATTATTTCTCTCCTTCGTCAGAGGATCAACATGACAACCAGCATTTTCAGGAGTTCAGCAGTGGCAGCCTTCTTCTCTCATGGCAAAAATAAAAAGACAGAAGTGGATATGTTCAGGGAGGAGGGCAGTGCGGGGCCAGGGACAATTTCGGGACCCCTTGGCTGAACTGAAAGTGCTGGTTGCCTGCCTGTCATGCTGATCCTCTGGATTCAATACTTCAAAGCCAAGCAAGCATGCGCATAAGGGCTCCTGATCTTCACATTTGTTAATAGGAATGTTAGGAAGGAAGAGGATCAACATTACAGTCAGCATTTGCAGAGGGAAGCCAGCAGTAGTAGCCTTCTCCTCTTATGACAAATTCCCAATGAAGATACTAGGATTAAAAAAAGTCAAAGTGATAAGGAAGAAATGATGGGAGAGGACAAGGACCCGCCAGCACCTTCCAGGGACACCGTAGGACTTACACTGACACCCCGAGAGCGTTTAGAGACACCCCCAGCCTTCTAAGGATACCCTGGGACTTTCTGCACTCACCCAGCTCGCCTCCTTCACCTGAAGTTTACTGGAAGCAGCAATGGTTCCATAGAGATGATGTGAGGGGGGTGCAGCCACAATCCCTGCATTGACCGGCCCACTAAGTATACAGGAGGGGGTGGGATTACAATTTCATCTGTGCTGAGAGAAGACACTGCCCCGTTCACCAATACATGCATGTTCTCCAAGATCAGTGGGTGGAGAGAGATGAGATTACAGATGAGGGAGATTATTGGATTTACCAATTTACCAATTTACCAAAGGCAAATAGTCTGTTTATCAGTATTTGCACCTATTTTGCACCGTTAAAAATAGGTGTCCTTTGAGGCTGATGAATGAGTTATTTCACTGTCTTAAAGTGTCCTCCATTTTCGGTAAGATCCTCGGGAGATTACTTGAGTTACAGAAAGAAGTGAATGGGTGGAATAGACATGCAATACCCAGATTGACCCCATTATTGCTTTGTCATGTGTGTGTGTGTTTGTAATCATTCAGACAAAATCCTAATTTTGTAGCCAAATCTCAGTTCTCATCTTTAATGGTAAAAGTACCTATTTGAAAATTTGAAATACTTTTCCTAGGTTACATTGTTGTTAGGAGATTAGTCAGATTTGCATTCTCCCATGCCAAATAAATTCAGCTAAGAGGGTGGAGTTTGTTTTAAGTGTTTTGTAAATCCTGTTTGCTTCTCTAGTCATGACTCTAGCCTTTTTTGGATTCTCTCTTTTTGCTTTGTTTGCCACCTGCCCCAGTCTTTGCAAATTTTTAAACTAAGCTCTTGTTTGATTTGGTGAAGACCAGACACTCCTGAGACTACAGACCATTTCTTAAATTGGCTAGTTACACAAACTGGGCTAGTATTATAATATTAATTGCATAACATAAGTAATTCAAATTAAAATACAATAGGATGTCAATACTGCTAAATGATTTTGACAATGTTCATATTGTATACAAATAAATCATACCATTATTAACATAATTTGCAAATTATAAAAAGTATTTATATGCCAAGCAACTTTGATTTATAGTAACATTGTCCACTACAACAAAACAGGCAGACTAAGGGGTGTATTTATAAAAAAAATTGCAAAGTCATTCATCCTTCAAAACAGAATGTACATTTGTGCATGGAGACAAACATTTTATTAGATTATTTTTTTCCCAGGAAAATACTGCACTATGCCCACATGATAGGGCTGAGGGGCATGGGAAAGCAGTATTTATTTCCCATGCTTCTCAGCATCATCAAGTGGCTGTAATGCTGTATTTTCCCGATATTTAATTTGATCTGGAAAGAAAATATTCTAATAACATTTGTTTTTGCTTCTAGTCACACAGAATTAATGTACATGCAATTCCACAGGAAGACTGGCTCTGTAAGTTTTATTTTATAAATACAACCCTTAGAGTATCTTCATGTGTTAATTGTATTGTTGTTTATTATTCCTTACAGTTTAATATGGTATTTTCACTTTACCTATTTATTTTCATGGATCTTCAATTTACTGCTTGCATGCTATAATATTGCTCAGTAACTTGTTTAAACAATACTAACCCTTCATAATTTATACATTAAAATTAAACCTGTCACATGTCAACCACCTGGAAAAAGTATCATGCTCTTCAGGCACCATGTTGACGTCTCAGACAGGCATACTGGCCCACCTCAACTTTCTTAATTAAAAGTTGCAGCTTATATTTTTCAAGTACATTAGCTCAGTGTAGGAATCACTGTTCCCATTTAAACAAGTGGAGGGGAGAATAAAGCACTCAAATAAATTCTGGATGAAACACGTTTTGGAGTGTCTCTCCCTTTTGTTTGTCATTATGGGACAATTTCTGTAATCTCTCATGGGCAGGGCCCTATCTTTTCTTGCTTTGTATTGTAACTGTAATGTATTCCTTATATTATTATAAAGCTGTGCAAACTGTTGGCTCTATATAAATCTTATATAATAATATAAACTTTAAGTGAAATGACATAGCTCTGAAATGCTATGCCTTGAAGCGAAACTCCAGGAAAAAAATGTTTTGGCCATTTGCATTTTACTTCTTTTACTTTTTTTTACTTTACTTTTACATCATACCAATAATGATGGGTGTCCTATCTGTGGATGGCTGCTGCATTAGTTGAAAGTAAAACGATAATTGTTATGCACCCCCTTCTGTAACTGCTGAATTTCCAGCAACAAAACATACAGATAGTGGGTCCCTCAGACTTTGACCATTCACAAAATGTCTTGTATTTTTATATGCAATGCATGGTGTTCTGTGAATGGACAGTATCACGTGGGGAGAGAAAACCATGTGATCTCCTTTGTACACAGGACAGTTTTTAGGAGAGCTATGTTTAAGGGTTTGAACCAGACAAACTGAACCTTAAAGCAGTCAGTGGGCGGAGCATCTGACTTCATCACTTCAGTGGAGCTGGACGGACAGGAGCTGTATTACATTTGCTGTACTCTGGTACAATGAAGGAATACCCTGTGGGAATCGTATGTCGGCTTTCTCTTCTCATTGTGTGAGTACCTGTTTTTATCTAATAAATGTTATATTGGGATGGTACGCGCTATGTTTCTTCTGCTTTCTTTCTTCTCAATCTGATGAGCGTATCTACAACCTGAAAGGATCTATTTTACTCTGATACTACGGGCCTCCCTCCCCCTCCTAAGAAGGGAAAACACTAGGGCTGTGCAAATTAACGATTAATTTCTCGATTAATCGTTAATCTTTTTGATCGATTAAAATTTTTTTGATCGATTATTTTTTTTGAAAAACTCTCTGCAAGAGCGCCAGCCAAGGCATTGGCCTATACACATATAGAGCACAGCAATGAAGTCATACAATGAACTAGGATCACACTAATCCAGCACGTTATTATTCTGAGTTGCCCCACGTGAGATTAATAACGTGCTGGATTAGTGTGATTCTAGTTAATTGTATTACTTCATTGCTGTGCTTTATGTGTATAGGCCAATGTAGTTGGATCTGTATGTGCATTATAATTAATCGAAATTAATCAATTAAATTTTTTTTCGATTAATCGAACACAAAAATTTGAATCATTACCAGCCCTAGAAAACACGCTTGAGACCTACTCTGTGGGTCCACAGACACAGGTGAGCACTCCTTTGTAATTTGTGCATTCACTTGGTGGAAGTGAAGGATTATCAAAGAGTCTGTTGTCCTGCACACTATAAAGTCTACTTCAGAGGACTGCTCATGTTGTTTGTACACGTTGCATTGCATTGTTTGGATTAGTTATCTGCACCATATAATTTGATTTCTTTTTTGGACTTTATCTCACTGTGTATGTTATGTGGTTTGTGTTCAGCCTATAACCATTGTTGTATTTTTCACTATTTATATTTGATTGTTTCTTCAGCTCGGCACATTATTGCATGTATATTTTGTATTATATCAGATATAATTTTAGTGCTTAGTAGCTCTTTTTCACTTTTTTTGCATCATCACTGGCGCAGATCTTTTTTGTTTTATAAGATTGTTTATAGATTAAAAAAACAGATATAATCCAAGAGTTTTAATTTTTATAAGCTTAATAAAAAATGCTAATAAAAAATAAAGCCGACCCAAAATCATTATAGTTTTCCTTAACACGGTGGACATATGAGAGTTTTTACATTAATATGATTTCTGCCAGATGAGAAAAACCTTTCTCCAAAAATCACTGAATGTCTGACAAAATCAGAACTTTTCTGAATTCCAAACCGAGATAATGCAACAATGGTGATGAATTAGAAAGCTATGATTTTTTATTACAGTGCTGGAGGCCTTAGAAGCTCCATGCAACCCTAGCCTGAGAAAAGTCCAAACATCTGAGACCACCGTTATGCTAAATTACCTTCTGGGCTTTTGGCATATCAGTGTGACGCTGAGCACGTACAGATCGTGCAGACTTTGCTGGCTTGGCAGGAGCACAGTACATCTCTAGCCTCCTCAAATCACAGCTTTGAAAGCAGCATTCATCCACTATTCCTCTGTGATGAGAACGTCGACTGCTATATCCATACCCTACTGGCTTGCCTGGTGGAAAAAGAAACACATAATAAAATTAAGAACATCATCAAGAAACTTTCTTGATTAAAGCCAGATCATGTTCTGAGGTTGGAAAAATCATGTTAAATTTAAATTGATTTTTAGGTGAGTTGAGTAAATGTAGTATTGTAATCCATGTAAATTAATGTGTTAAAATACATTTTAACTAAATGAAATGACAGTTGTTGGGTGTAAGGTAGCAGTGAAGTAATAACCTGGGAATTAATGCAGATTCTATTATTACTGGACCATGAAGATGTGATATAATCATCTCTTCTTAGATGTTAAACACTACAGTGATGAATATGTCAATGTCCCATATGGACCACTTGCTCCTCCAGCTTACTGTCTGCACTTTTGTACCTACACAGTTTATTTATTGTAATGCATGACATAAACAGGCAGTTAATTGCAACTATATTAGAGGAGGCACAGATGGATTAAAATGTATTTCCACTATTGCAAACACATTGGAGTAACATCTACGTATTATTTGTTACATGTTCCCAATTACATAGCATAACTTTAAAAATGATCTTTTCTGAAAACTCCAGGAATGAAAAATCCTAGTAAGGATTTTTCTATAATATTTATGATGAAGCAGGGCAGCTATGTTTGCCACAATTAAACCTGTATACTGTGCTGGCAGATTTAATTATAAGTTGTTAACTAGATGTGCAGGACTGCCTATCTTAACAAAGGCTTAACGATCTTGTGTGGTACATTGTATTTTGCACTGTCTCTTAGTTTTGTCCCTCTGGTGTGTCTCTTATCTCATCATCTTTTCAAAGCAATGTATAATCCAACAAATCCACTAAAAAGGTAACAAATATTTTTTTTAAATATGCTATGTGAATAGAAACATATAACAAACATATAGTGAATGTGATTTTTCCGAATTATTATATCATTCAACAGCTTGGGCAGTGGGTGAGATTTGTACAAACATTTGTTATCACCTAAGCTTAATCATATCATAATAATGGAAATGGTATAAAATTTATCTTTAGGGAAAGATTCACATCAAAATAGGTTCGTCTTTATCCTGTCCCCTACCACACTGGAATTGCTCCATTGGTACATAGGTCTACTCATCTTATTAAAGTACCAACAGGGTTCAAGTTATGTGGAAGGGGTTACTTTGCAGCCATTGAAGGCTCATTGCACAACGCAGCCAGCAAAAAAAAAAAATCCTAGCAGAAATCCTCTTGAGTCAACATTTCATCATTCCGAATCACATCTAGTCCTTTAATCTTTATCCTTTTTGTCCAGCATTGAAAGGTGTCATGCTTCTTCCTTTACAACCTTCTATAGAACAAATATCTTCAGATTCCCAGAAACCATTCCTGATTTCCGCGAATCACTTTTTTACCCTGAAAGCAGTTGACATAGTGTGCTCAAATTGAGCAATACAAAACTGCTATAACATTGCATTTGTATTATGGAGTGAAATCCAAAAAAAGGCCCAATCTTGTAACAGTAGCAGCCCTTGTGTATTTATAATATTCTTGCTGCCTCTCCAGTGTATATTGTGTCAGTAGGATTTTTTTTGCTATGAACACAGTGAAATAGAAATTCTATGCAACCATCACATTTTTAAATTTAGATTTGAATACAGATAGACAGGCCACAATGAGAATTGGCAAAATATCATCTTTTTTCAGGGGATGTTCAGATAGCAGTTCAGATACCAGTACCGATAATTGGCATTTTCATGAGAACTACCAGGGTTGCAGCGTTTGCAGCTGGGATCTAGCTCTGGCACTCCACCACTGTCTTGAATCATTAGTCTGTATTGTTTTAGAAAAACTGTCACATGACAATAAACAAAAATGTTTCAGTACTTGTATCTGTGATTACTTGGACAAGTATTGAAAAAAGAGGCTCGTGTACCATCAAAGAAGAGCTATCCTATGACATTCAGAAGGGACCTTTGCAAGCCTTACTTGAGGAAGAGCCCTACCAAAATATTGTTTCTGTTATTTGTCTGGACTCTGCTAGAAACAGGACTTGTTAAGTACTCTCATTTTTATTCCCTTTTATTTTACTGTTGTTATGTTGGTCTCTCTTTTGTAACATCTTCATTAAAAGCAGAAAGATGGAAACTGTGAATAAACTTTGCCTTTTACCCTGAAAAGTGTTTAAAAAATGTACACATTCTGCATCATGAAGAAAGATTCCTTCAGTATAGACAGGTTCCAGGCAGATTTGCAATCAGCATTTCATCAAAATCCCAGACAAAACAGTAAGTTTATTACATCAGGTCAGTAACAGGTCACGTTTAAAGGATATCCAAGCTAAAGAATACATGAATCACTTATTGGCTGAGTTTTTTTGATTCAATGAACAGATGTTCAGTAAGACACATTTTATTTAAATAGCAAGCCTTCATAGTCACCTTCCCAGTGAACAAAAATATGGCTGAAATGTCATTGTTACTCCAAGCTACTGCCTATTTATTGATTGTTATTGGTCACTAGGAAGCCTAATTGTAAAATCACTTTCATCTATATTTAAATCACCCATGAATCTCTATTAACAATTTATGAGTCAGGTCGAATAAGGGCTGCATCTGTGGTCAGGTATTAACAAAGGACTTTATGACATAGTGCTGGATTGCCATTACATGGTATACAAGCATGAGGAGAATGGGCTGAAATCTCTACATTAACTATAGAGATCATGGCCGAGGTTTTCTGTACTTTGCCTAACAATCACCTTTTTTAAACAAGAGTGAAGTATTTTGTAGAGAACACATAACATGGATGTACAGTATGCATGGGTTCCCGTCTCTACTAGGAACACCAGGTTAGCAGGAAGAGGGCAGGGGTAAAGAGTGCTAAAGCCTGTGTTTTTCTTTAAAGTTTTGATGATTCGCTTATGGCATTTTTGAGGTTCATCCTCGCATATTACAGATTGTGTACATAAGTGTTTTTGACATATCATTGACATACAATTTTTGAATCTGTGTTGAAGTGTTTTAATTTAATTTGAAAAGGATTGTATGTACAATGCTGGTAGGTTAATTGGCTCCTCTCTAATTTTGCCCTCTGTGTATGCATGTATGTATGTGAGATAGGGACCTTAGATTGTAAGCTCCTTGAGGGTAGGGACTGATGTGAATGTGCAACTATTTGAAGTGCAGGGTAAATTGTCGGCACTATATAAATACCTGTAATAAGTAATAAATAAAATAAATAAATATGGTGCAGAGTACACTTCCAATAAGCACGTTTAGTATTGCGTTTGCCATACATGTGTTTTTATCCTAGCATATACTCTTTAAAACTTTAAAGGTGGATACACACCTATCAAGTAAGGCACAAGGCCAAGCTCAAAGATCTGAGCATCTACATATTACAGCTTGTGGGTATCTGGTAATGCGTGTGTCTAGAATTCTATTTAAAGCACAGCACAAATGAGGAGAGTTGCTGAATAGACATCAGCTCCTGTGACCCATGACCTGACCTGTGATTTGCTCTTCTGTGTTTGATCCAGATTGCCTCTCAACTCTGCTGTATTCAGATCTCCTGTTGCTGATCTTTGCTTAAATTCTGACTTTGCCTCCTGCCTGTTGCCTTCTTACCTCTGCTGCCCCTCTCTTATCATTTTGGCTTGGACCTTGACCTCTCTTCTGCTGTTGCAGACCCTGCTTGTCCTGACAATGTTTCCTCTCCTTGCATCTGCAAGTTCTTGAGCCCGTTCTGCATACCAGCTTCCTGCGCAGACCTGGTCTGTGTATCTCCACGTCTTATGAACTTCTGCTCCATCTGGACCCACTAGAGGCACCCATGCCACTACTTCTCCTTCTACACTTACTCTCCAACTCCAGGGGGAATTGGGCAGGATGTTTAAGGAAAAAAAAAGCATTCTCACCTATTTTTGTTGTGGTTCTGATTACTGACTGTATGAGAGAAGGCAAATCTGCAGGTACCCGTTCACAGATAACTGTAAGGTGTCACTGAGGACAAATCTTTCTGCTAGATAAAAACACTTCATTTGATTTCATATTTTCCAAATGTAATTTACAAAATATTGACCGCACTCTTGGCTAACAAACCACATTTCCAGGCTTGGCTACGTGAATTGAATATCAGCAGCAGAGGAGCAGTTGAGGTGGCAGGGTATAATGTGACATTGGAATTACTTGTTCTGGCATCATTTATGTAATAATCTCAAGGGAAGGGAAATATGCTATGGATTTACATAGCAAACTACATACTGAAGCTATGATTCTATAGAGAATAACTGCTCTAGAGGGCGAGAGCCTCGCTAGCACAGCACTATTTTCTAGACCAGGTCAGATTCCAGGGTAGAACGTGAGATCAACAGCCAAGAAATTTTCACTGGCAACAGAAATGCTTTGTATGACAAAATCACTTTTCTAGGAAACTGACTACATTTTTCAAGGTCTGAGATAAGATAATTAGATTAGCATTTTTTTCTGCTTAGCTTACATTTTATTTTTCAACTGTGAAAGTGTGGCAGTGTCACTGTAAATATTTCAACCCATAAAAGCATCATGTCATCTTTGCATTAATGTGAACAGTATAAACAAAGTACAGTATATTGGTTATTAAACCTAATTTTAGCATTTAATGCCTAACTCTAGACAAAACTTTCATACACTTTCAAACTTTCATTCACTTTTAAGTTTTTGGATAGAGCGGGAAAGGGTTAGCACCTGAAACTGCTTTCAGGATCCCTCACTCTTTCTGTTTGTCTGTTATTAATCACTTGCACAGGAGTGAGGGGGAATCTCATATTAGGGACACAGACAGACAATCTGATAGAGGCTCTCCTCCCCATTGCCCTAAAATGTTATATCCCTTTCTGTATCGACCATTGAGGGGGATATACCTTCAAATAGACAATTAGCAAAAGGAAAGCTTTTTAACAGGAACACAGACAGCAATATAGACTATGCAGAGGATCTAACCCTTCCAGATTCAATCCAAAACAGAAGAAAAGGTTTTGGCTTGTAGCTT